GACCACTGTGCCACCCTCACTCACTTTTCCAAGGACATAAGTCACACTGGAGGAGATAGCCCTTCCCTTCCCCCTTAAAGCCACTGGTGGCCTCAGATCACCAGAGAAGATGGTCCTTAAGTCAGCAGCATAATTCTCTATAGCCAAGACCACCAGAGATCCAATGACTCTTACACAGTCTTCAACTCCAGGCTTTGGAATCCTCTGAAGTGTGCTCCTGGGTGCCTTCTCACCTTCTCAAGGAGGTTCAAATAACATAGTTCCTGTTATGTAGGAGTGGATAGCTAAAACCTCAGTGTAAATGTATTTAAAGGAAAAAAACAACATCAAAACTAGGAAGGGAGATTTTTAGGGATTTCACTGTGCAATTTTAAGGCAATCGTGGCTGTTGGAGTAAATGAAGCTGAAGTCTCTCCTGGGTTTCAGAACTCAAATTTACTATAATAAATGTGTGTGATTCAGCTATTCTTTGGCTTAAGTGAGCTAGTCTGAGAAATGTGACCATCTTTACTGTTTTCTATAGAGCACATATCTTCTAATTTATGTAACAAAATAATCCAATGGACTTTTAAAATACAACTCATTTTTAAGTTGGGACTATATATGCCTTGTACATAAAATGCAATGTCTTTACTGTAATGTTAAAATACAGGTTTATGCCATAATAAAGACATCAATACTTATTTTTTAAAAACAAAACAAAAAACACGCTGTTAGTTTCTTGAGTGTGTCAGAGATGGTGAGGTTGGCACAGGATGGGACATGGTTCATAACTGTTGTTCAGAGAGATGCTATGAATCCTACTTGACTGGAGAGCACTTAACAACACAATGGTTTATACTATAGTGTAGCAAGTTATTAGAACTCTGGTGGTCTAGTGGGTAAGGAGCTGTGCTGCTAACCCCAAAGACTCATGGTTCGAAATCACCAGCTGCTTCCATGCAATCTGCAGCCTCTGAAAACCCACCAAAGGGCCAAATACGAGTCCTCTTGGGCTCCAATAAAGTGAACTCACGCATCACTCTGGTTGTCGAAATCTGCTGAGTGTCTGCGTAGATAAAATAACTACCTGCTGAGAATGTTGTTATGTGCCTTCGAGTCGCTTGCAACTTATAGCAACCCTATGTAGAAGAACCCTTACCTCTACTCTATCCTGTGCCAACCTCACTGTCTCTGACACACCTACTCCCATTATCCCAATCACTGAATCGATCCATCTCATCGAGGGTCTTCCTCTCCTGCGCTGTCCCTCCACTCTCCCAAACATGATGACCCTCTTCAAGGACCAGTCCCTCCCTGCAACATGCCCAAAGTATGTCAGATGAAGCTTCAGAATCCTTGCCTCCAAGGAGCAGCCCGGTTTCACATTCTCCAGGACAAACCTGTTTCTTCTCCTAGCAGTCCATGGTATATTCAACACTCCTCCAGCAAAACAACTAAAGGAATTGATTCTCTATCAACCCTAGTCATTGTCCAGCTGTATGACTGCATAGCACGCAATTGAGAAGACTATGGCCTGGGTCAGGCACACCTTAGTCTCGAGCCTGGCATCATTGCTCTTCAGTACTCTAGAGAGATCCCTGACAGCTGACTTTCCCAATGCAATTTGCCTCTTGATTTCCTGGCTGCTGTTACCAAGAGAGTTGACTGGAACCAAGCAATTTAAAACCGTTAACAATCTCAATCTCTTCACCATCCGTAATGATGCTGCCAATTGGCCAACTGGTGAGAATCTCTGTTTTCTTGAAGTTGAGCTTCAATCCATATTTAAGACTGCTGAGAATAGTAATAATGAGCTCTAACCTACCAATGGTCGCCAAAAGGACGCAGGACGGGAAGACTTTTCATTATTGCATGTAGGCCATGAACTGAAGCAGACTCCATAACGAACAACATAAAGAATAATAACGTCTAAGAGCAGTGAAGACATGCCGGCTGACACCAAAGTTTTGGAGCTCTATTGCTCGGGTTCGAATCCGGCCGAGTTCTTGAAGCAGAGCAAGTTGCTGAAAGTGCCTTTAGAAGGTAGTCCTGACCCCTGCAGTGCTGACTCGTCCCCTGCGGACACTCAGCAAAGGGACAAGGCAGCGAAGGGACGAGGCAGAGGGCAGCGCCCCCTCACGGCGTCCCAGCCCCTTCCAGGCTCTAAAACGCCACTTGCGCGCATGTTCCTCATAGACCCTAACACGCATGCGCGTTCCCGGTAGGGGGGCGTGATCCAGGGGCGTGGCTTGGACGGGGCAGGGCCGCGCCTGCGCGGGCCGCCTCCTATGGCTTCCCCCTGATACTCTCCGGGTGTGGGTCGGGTGGGACTCCAGGCGGACACCCCGGCTACGGGTAAGCCCTCCCTGCAGGAGTAGTCAGACAGAGTAGAGTACGGGTCACCGTTTAACACATACTTTGACTTTGAAATTCGTGCTGCCATCCACCTGAAGCTCAGCACCCTAAACCCTGTTCCACCTTGCTTGCCTCAGTTTCCCCTTCTGAGCAAGGGTGTTGGGGGAAGTAGTCCATGACCTCACTTGCGTTTCTGGCGGTGGTCTAGTCGTTCCCTTCGTTCTGGGCAATGCCCAAGTTGTGACCCACTGAGTGAACGTAATGCTTACCCCCCAAGTGTGGGATTCTGGGGGATCCAGCAGACCCAGGGGAAGGGAGGGTAGCAGGGTTTCCTGACTCCAGTCATTTATGCCTTAGCCGTGTTCCTGCGACCCCCTGGACCTCTGTTCCGCCAGCCTTTCAGTCCTCACACCCTCCCCTCTGTTACTGCCCAGTTCCTGATTGTGGAATGAATGAGTGGCTCCTGGCAAGGAGAAAGCCTGGGAGGACGTGTTTCAAGGCGTTAGTCCCAGCAAACTGCTTCTTGGAGCAGCCCTGATTGGGGAACTATGTGGGGGAAAGGTGATCAGTGTCTGAGCCTGGCCCCCTTAACTCTGGGAGAACCAAGGACACCTGTCACTGTGTGCCACCAAGACGCAGGACCAGAGACCAAGCCCAGCTTTGCCTGATCGAGACTGAGTAAGCTGTCCTTTGAGTATAGAAACTCCATTGCCATTTCCTCCTCATGAGCTTAGTAATACTTCTTACTAATGCCATAGTGACACCTCTGTTGTTATTTAGTGAGTGTTTACGATATCCTAGTCCCTGAAAGTGCTTGTGGTCAGGTCTAATCCTCACCCACTGCTGTGAAGTCAATTCCGATTCAGCAGCCCTGCAGGACAGTTAGACCTGCTCATGGGGTTTGCAAGCCTTTTCCAGGGGCAGACTGCCAGACCTCCCTCTGCAGCTGGTAGATTCAAACTACCAACTCTCAGTTACTAACTAAGCACTTAATCACTGGGCCACTAGGGCTCCTTATAGATATAATCACAAACCACACCCAAACTCAACTGTCGTTGAGACAATTCCAAGGCATAGTGACCTTATGAGACAGAGTACAACTGCCCTGAAGGGCTTCTGTGGGTTCTGGGGCTGTGGCCTGAAGAGCAACGCACTGCCATCCCAAAGACCGCATCTCTCATGGGAAGTCCCTTCCTGTTTCATTTACAGCCTTGGAAATTCAGTGGAGGGTCACCTATGAATTGGTCCCAACTTGACAGCAATTAGTTTTAAATCAGAATCTTTGCAGAAGCAAGCTATGACATCTTTCTCCTGCAGAATGGGTTCAAATCACCAAAAGCAGAATTAGCAACCAAGTGTTTGACCCACCAGTCATTATACCGATAGGTGTAATAAGCCGTATGCAATTGACTGCCTTCAAGTCATTTGAGCAGTCCTCTGCCAGATTTCCAAGGCTGTAAATCCTCACGGGAGGAGACTACTCACCTTTCTCCAGAGCAGCTGGGGAATTTGAACTGCATGGCCGAGTGGTGAGAAAGGGCGCGGTAATCCCAAAGGCACATGGTTCACTTCCAGTGGCTGTTCCACTGAAGGATGAACAGTCTCCTCCTGTGAAATTTACCGCCTCTGAAAACTCGCTGGAGTCAACTGTGCGTCAGTTCCAGCTTGATAGCACATAACAACCTTTGGTTATCAGAAGCTCGTTGTTCCCACATAACTGGTTCTGGAGAAAACAACTTAAGAGGAATCCACTTCACCTGGGACCCCAGTTGCAGGGTTCATTTACTGGAAAATCTGAGTAGTTGGAATTTCAGAACTGTGTATTCAGCTAGTAATTAAGAATGAGAGTTCCAGTTTTTGGTCTCGGAAAAGTCATTGCCATCAAATCGGAACCAACTAAAAGCTGGCCCTTCAGCAGGTTTTCAAGGCTGTAAATCAAATGAGAAGAGATCGCTCACCTTTCTCCTGAAGAACTTCCGGTGTATCCAGAACAACAGCTTGGCCTTTGGGTCATCTGTGGCTCCCTGTGCCACCAGCACTCCCTTTTCTGTCTAGATTTGGGACTATTTGCTATTCCTTCAACTTTTCCCCTTTCATGACTGTCATAATAATCAATATTCAAAAGAATCTGGGGAAAATCTAAAAGGGGGCAGGAACATTTCATAAGCATAAATAGAAAATGAGATTTTCCCCTGCCCACAAACAGTAGAAAACTATGAAAATGAATGCAGTACAAGCAAAATACATTTCAGTTCTAGCTGGATTCTTCTTCCTTGACGTAACTCTTAAGACTTTCTCCTCTGGTGAGTTATCTGAAAGGGTGTACTTGCCCCTTCAGAGGCTGTGGGTGATGCTACACCTTTTACTGCTTCCCTCAGAATCCCTGGGTAATTCAAAACAGTTAATCCCTCCTTGGCTACAAATGGTAAGGTTTAAAGAGATGCCTCTTCCAGAGATGCTGCGGAAGAAAGGCCTGGCAATCTGAGAAATCACAGCCATTGAACATCCCGTGGAGCACACTTCTGTTCTGACACGTGGGGATGGACTCCACAGCCTCTGGTTCTGAGAGGTGTGTTTACACGCAGCCCCTTGTGACTCATGGTCTTGAGGAATGTCCTCTCCCCTCAGGTGCTCCTGCCCACGACTTATGTGGTGGCCAGGCCATGAGCCACCCAGCTCCCACCTCACCCATGGATGAGGTCACCTTCCGAAGCGACACCGTGCTCTCCGATGTCCACCTCTACACCCCAAACCAGAGACACCTCATGGTGCGGCTGAATGGCGTGGGGCAGCCGGGTAAGGCCTGGGAGTGTGCGGAGGACCCACCTCGTATGGGTCCCCATTTTCTTTTCTTGCACTTGTGCTTTTGGGGAGGAGACTGGGAAGACTGCAGTGTTGTTGTGTTTGGGGTTTATTTCCTTGAAGTAGTTTCTTTTTTTTGGGGGGGGGGACTAACCGAAGTCAAGTTATTTATTGAGTGCCGATTACGTACTAGGTATTATTCCAAATACTTGGGACACATCAGAGAGCAAACAGATCCCTGCCCTCACGGAGCTTACAGTCTAGCATTTCCCACTTCACTTGTACACGGACCCGGGCAAGTCTGTGCCTCAGCTGCCAAATGGGAGGAATATGCACAATCAGCACAGACCATGGATGACATGCTTGCTGTTCTGTAGATGCCAAACAAGACCCTTACCCCTTGCCCTAGCCTATCTCTTAGGCAAGAAATCGGGCTGGATGTTGGTTTTTAACAGAGAGCACACTGGGGCTAGGGGGTTGGAGCTGGATTGTCTGTTGTGCGATGGTGGTGGTAAAAGGGCTGTGCAGGGCTGATGATGGCTACACAAATTGTTGCTGCTGCTGCTGCTGTTTCTTGGTGGCTGGCTTGCTGGCTAGGTCCTTGGCCTTCTCTGTAGCTGCCAGTGCTGTCTCTTTTGCCTTTTCCTTGGCTTCCTTGGCAGTTTCAACAAGTGTCTTAGAAGGGGCTTCACCTTGTAGCTTGGCCAAGATGTATTCAAAACCCTTCATAGTCTTGGTCACATTGCTTTTAAATCGAGCCGGACCGAATTCCTGGACAGCTCTGGAGACACCAAACAAGCTAGAGGAGACCCAGGCTTCTTGGCGGATTTCGGTCCAACCACTGTTATCAGAGTTCACATAGTAAACACAGCGTTCCTCCACCACCGTCAGCCGGGCATGGTTGATGTTCCAGGTGAAGGTGGTCATGGTCTGATTCTGTGGGTCCACAACAGAGTCCTCCAGGATGTACACCGAGTGAGCAACATTGGCAGGAAACAATCGCTCAGCCCAGCGCGGCATCCTGTTGGTCTTGGTCAGGAGTCTCCGGGACAGGAGTTTCTGGTCAGGGGTAACCTCCCGGTGTACTATGTCTTCCGTCAAGACATGTTTGCTGTAGGGATTCGGGTACCGCTGCCAGAAGGCGGTGAACACTTGGTCCTAGGAACTCCTGAGCACGCTCTGGCCCAGGAAATATTTCACCATTGTCCCGGCCGGGAAGGACTCAACACCCGCGAAGCATTAGGAGTGCGGAGCACGTGGAGGCCAGGCCAGAGCTCGGCGCCTGCCCGCCAGGCTCGCTCAATCACCACCGTACGGCGCCCAAGCTTCTGCCGCCATGAGGAGGCTCTTTTTTTCTTTTTAATTTGGATTTCCATTCCTTCATTGTTGCATTTTTCTCCCTGCCCATCCCTCCCCTCCCCCAGTTCGCTCTTCTCTTTGAAAAGCAAAAGAAAAATTTGGTCCCCGCCCTACCCTGAGTCCACTCCACTATAGACTGCAGTGTTTAACTGTTACCCTCACACCTCTTCATTGCACTTCTTTCACTGGGCAGCTGCTGCTTCCAGAGCACCTACTGTGTACGAGGTCCAGGCCTCCACAGCCGTGAGCAAGCACCACCTGCAGGAACCCACATCAGGAGGGCGGACCCAGCACTGGGAGCCTCTGTCCCCTGCTCTCCCTTCCTACCTTCCACCTCCCCCCAGTCGGATCTCAGGGAAAGTAGCATGAGATAAAAGAGTGTTACAGGCCAATATGAGAAGATTTTATTCTAAGAAGAATGGGAAGCCACTGAAGGGTCAGGAACATCAGGGGAACACTCTGATGTTATTTGTGTATTTCCAGGGCTTCCCTTGGCTCTTCAGAGAGAGCGAGAACGGGGTGACTCTGCAGAAGAGATAGCGAGGCCAGGGGGGAGAGAAGGAGGCAGCCACCCAGTTAATGCAGCCTAGAGGAGAAACCCTCAAACTCTCTTCTAAAAGGCCGGAAGAATGTGTACAAAGCAGGGAAGAACTGGCATTAACAGGCAGAAGGAACAGCCTTTCCAAAGGCACAGAGCAAGAGCTATAGCCATGCCCTGTGGTGGTCATGGTTACAGTGCCCTTGGCGAAGGGTGAGGGAGCACCATCTCGAGCAAGGTGGCATGCAGGGAACAGAAGAGGAGGGAAAGGATGAAAAAGAACCAGTCTTGAGTACCTACTACAGGCTGAGTGCTTTGTATTCATTATCCCATCCTAGGTGCAGGGTGAAGAAGGCCCTTAGTGACGCAGGGGTTTGAACCTACCACCCTCCCCACAGGAGGAAGATTGGGCAGTTTCTTCTGTAAGGATGGCAGCCTTAGGAACCCTTGCGGCAGTTCGGTCCTGCCTTCCGCTGCCACTGTGAATCAGAATTAGCTCATTCTCCCAGTCAGGTAACTGGGGCTCTGAGCAGCTCAGTGACTTGCTGAGATTCAGACCACCTAGGGGTGTGTAGAAGGTGTCCACCCAGGACATTACTCTGGAGTCCTGCACCCTCCTGTCCTCCACGTACTGCTGCTGACACACCGTTCTCGTTGCTGTTAGGTGCCGTCAAGTATTCTGGCCTTCCCTATCCACCAAACGACACTGAACTCCCAAGTCCTCATAGTGTTCTCCAGGCCTTAAGAAGCAGAGCAGTGTGGTGAGAAGGACGTAGGCTTAGGAACAGAGCCAGCCGGGTCGGAACTCTGCCTCAGCCTCAGCCATGCTCTGTGCACTGGTTTGCTGCCTGGGTCAGTTCACGTACTCTCTTTAAAGTCTCAGTTTGCTCATCTGTAAACTGGATCAGATAACACTCTGCCCTCAGATGAGTCACGAGGATGAAATGAGGTGAATGTGGAGCTCGTGCCTGTGACACGGCGGATGCTCATGAAATGCTGGATGCTTCTAAAGGGGGTGGTTGCTACTGGTGGTGGCCACAGCCATCGAGACTGAAGCAGATGGGCCGTCTCTGCTGACCTTCACCTTTAAAACTCCTCCAGATAACACTTGGAAATCAAATTCTGTAAAAGAAGTCGGGGGGAGGGGGGGAGAGACCCATCTCATTTTGTTTTCGTCTTGCCTTTCAGTTTTCCTGTCCCAGTTCAAGTTTCTGTCGAGCCACGACTCAGGGACAGACTCAGGGGCTGAGCTTGGAGACCACAGAGACTCTTACTCAGAGAAGGCTCCCCACGCTGGGCCTGGCCCACTGGAACTCCCTCCTGGAAGTGACCACAGCCGTGAGAGTCCTTCCCTCCAGACCAGCCGGGAAGAGGCAGGAGCCCAGCTGGACGAGGATGGGGACTTAGATGTGGTGAGAAGACCCCGGGCCGCCTCTGACCCCGACCCATCGAGGCCTCCCAGAGACAAAGTGCACCCCGTGATTCTAAGACAGGAAGAGGAGGACAGCTTGGGAGATGAGGCAGCACAGGAAAGCAGCCTCTGCAATGTCATTAAAATAGGTAATAAAGGTCCAGCCTCCTGTAGCGCCCAGTCCCTATCAGGGGGTCCTGTGGCTTGAGTACCGGCTGAGTGTTCAGGCCCAGGCAGCATGTTACGGAACAAGACAGGCGCCCAGAATCAGCTCTGAGGAGACCCAAGTGCAAGCATTGCTGCTGCTTGTAGAAAGAACTTCCAGAGCACACAGTCGGGTCACTCTCCTGCTCAAGACTCCTCAGTGGCTCCCCATTGCCCTTGGGATCGAGTCTAAATCGTCCAGCACTGTACTAACAAGGCCCGTGTGATGTGGCTTCTGCTCACCCCCTCCTCGCAGCCTCAGCTCACTCCACCACCTGCACACCCTTCCAGGTTCTTTCTTATCTGAGGGCCTTTGTGTCGTGCTTCCTTCTTGGGGTATAACTGGCCTCTGTCTCCTCTCCCTTGTTGTTAGGTGCCGTCAGGTCATCCCCACACAGAGTGGGTCTCTGTTGTGTACAGTCGAGCCCTGCCCCGCCCCATCGCGCACCATCCTCAGCTATCCCCTCTGTGCTCGAACCATCGCTGCAGCTGCTAATGTCAGTTGATCACGTTGAGGCTCTGCCTGCTGTCTTAGATAATCACTCTTGGTAGTCAGGTCCCGTCATGCTATCACTTCCTCCTGGAAACTGCTGCTGCTGCTGCTTCCTTCCACATGAGCACGTGCCATTTTAAGTACAGTGCGGGGAACACTAAACTGACATCTGGGAGCCATAGACAGATCACTTGGCCTTTCTTGGTCTTGTTTTCCTTGTCTGCAGAATGGGTACAGCAGCTTCTAACTGTGAGGAGTTAGGAGAGATGGTGCAGCTCAAGCTCTCTCTCAGCACATAGTAGGTGCTCAATCAAGGTGAGCTGCTGTAGGCTTTAACTGCTGGGGGATGCACCATGTAGAGAGAAGGGGAAGCCATGGGTGAGAAAGAGATTCCAGCTCCTACAGGTGCTGTTGTTGTTATATACCGTCGAGTTGTAGGCGACTCATAGCGACCCTATGAATGAAAGTCCTCAACGCTTGTGTGACTTTCATCCTCTCTCCAGGTTCATAGGGTTCCTGGAGGCAAGTTGTTTTGGAGGTGGATGCCACTCCTGCTTCCAAGCTTGTTTTAATCGGGCAGCTCCACCAAACACTGTCTGCAATGGGTAACCATTATCGCATTTGATGGACACATCAGTGTCACAGTGTTCAGCTTCACAGCAACTACAAGTTACCTCTGTGTGGCACGTGGACACACCAGGGCTATATGACCTAGAGGAATGTTTGAACAAAAAAAATGAAAGGCAGGCCTGAGGGCCGCGGATTAAAAGTCACCCACCTTTGGCTCGGTAGCAGCACTTCCTGTCCACTAAACCAGCTAATCACTCTCTATGTTGATGTTATTGTTACTAAGTGCCGTAGAGTCGTAGATGACTCATAGCGACCCTGTGAATGAAAGTCCTCAACACTTGAGTGACTTCCATCCTTTCTCCAAGGGGGCAAGCTATTACAGGTGTAGTGGCTGAATGAGCAGATAGGGTGGGATGCATGGTTTTGGAATCCTGCTGGGGCAGATTGCAGGTCTCCCTCTGTATCGATCCCAGACTGGCCTCTGCTGCTTGTGTGATGCCAGTGAACAGAAGTAAAACTTTGCACCATAAAAAGGAATTGGAGCTCGACTCAGGACCCCAGAGAGCTAGCTGGGCGCCCCCTCAACAGGACATGTTGCCCCCGCCCCTTCCACAAGCAGACATACCAGGCACGTACCATGAGGCTCTGAGGACCCCGTGATGGTGTCTCAGTAATCTAGTGTTGCTATGACAGCAGTGTCCCAGGGGGTTCGTCTTAACAAACAGGAATTTATTCTCTCCCAGTTTAGGAAGCGAGAAGTCCAAATTCGGACATGACTCAGCAGCACTTGATTTTTATAGCCGTATTAAGAGGTTTATTTTAAGGAGTTGGTTTGTGTGATTTGTAGGGCCTGGCACATCTGGAGTCTGTAGGGCAGGCTAGATGCTCAGCCGGAAGTTGATGCTGCCATCTCAAGGCAGAACTTCTCTTGGAAGCATATTTTTTTCTCCTGAAGCCTTCAACTGATTGGATGAGGCCCACCCAACATTACAAAGGGTAATCTGCTTTACTTTAAGCAAACTGATTGTAGATGTTTATTGTCATCTACACAGTCCCGCCACAGCAGCACCTCCGTGGGAGAAGAATTAACTAACCGTCTACAGTAGCTTGGCCAGACAGACACAGGCTGACCATCACAGCCACAGAGCCGGCCTGCAGCAATGCTCAGAGCCTTCCTCCCAGCCAGTGGCACGGTCTGTTTCTCTGCTTCCATTTAGAACGCTAACCGCACGCCCCTCCGCCCGTGTTTGTCGATTGCCATGAGCCCCCCCTGTCTGTGGTTTTCTGTCCACCTCATTTTCACAGTGGGCATTTCTCTCTTGGTCCAGAGCACACCATGGCCACCACGCTGGAGGACGTGGGCAAGCAGGTGGGTAAGTCCTGTCCGCCGTCCTTGGCCCCGAAGGGCTCTCCCCGGGGCCTCACCCTGCCGGCCCTCTCTTCTCACTCTCCCTGCAGGTGTGGCGCGGTGCCCTGCTCCTGGCGGATTACATCCTGTGCCAGCGGGCCCTCCTCCAGGGGTGCACCGTGCTGGAGCTCGGGGCGGGCACAGGGCTGGTCAGCATCGTCGCGGCCACGCTGGCCCGGACCGTGTACTGTACAGGTGAGCACTCAGGCCTCACAGTGTGTGCTCACTGGAGAAACAAGGCCTGTAACTAAAGTCCGCGTGTGGCTTGCTGGTGATGCTCATCTTGTCCCCTAGATCTGCCCCTGTGGTGTTTTCTCTGTATTATCAGAATGATTCAGTGACACCAAGTCACTGGACGTGACACCACCCAGCAGAAATGAGACTTCACCTGAAGTTTACACTTGAGAGGCAGCTGGTGCCTCTGTGACCCCTTGGCTCGCACCCCTAAGAGGGCAGCATCCCAGGAGCCATGAGGAATAGGTCCCTCCACAAGGCTTTTGAATCCTTTGGTGGCATGAATGGTTGATGTGCTCAACTGCTAACCCAGAGATTGGAGGTTCGAGTCCACCTAATGATCTATGTCCAAAATATCAGCCCTGATAAATGGAGCGTGGCTCTCCTCTGCTACACGTGGGGTCACCAGGCATGGGAGTCCACCCCACAGCAGTGTGTCCTGGACTTCCTCCCCCAGTCAGGGAGCTTCCTCTCGCAGGGGCCGAGGTCCAAAACAACACACCCGTGCCCGACATTTATTTCATGGTGATCCTGAATCCCTGCTCCAGGCTCTCTCTCCTGCCTTTTTGTCTCTAGTGAGATGAAAGTCTTACAGGCCACCCCCTAGGGAAACATGCCTCATATCCAGTCAGGGCTATGTGGGAATAAGCGGTATGGCATCCTGACCTTAATCCTTTTACAGCTACCTGGTTTATTGGCTTTTGGAAGACCATTATATAGCTCCACATTATATCATTATATACTAGTGTTTTAGGGGGACACAAGTCAACCCTGACAGTAACCTTCTCTCAAACCTAAGAGTTTCCACAGTGAACCTTTGCAGAAACAGACTGTCATGTCATTTCTCCACAGAGCAGCTGGTTTATTTGATCCACCAAACTTTGGTTAGCAGCCGAGAGCAGTTGTTGCTGTTGTTGTTGTTGTTATGTGCTGCTGAGTCACCTGTGGTTCATAGCAACCCTGTATAGAACAGCTCTGAACCCTGCGCCATCCTGAGCCAACCCCATTGTCTCTGACACACCTACCCCCATTACCCCAGTCACTGGGTCAATCCATCTCATCCAGGGTCTTCCTATCTTGCACTGTCCCTCCACCCTTCCAAGCATGATGTCCCTCTCCAGGAACTGGTCCCTCCTGGCAGCATGACCAAAGTGTGTCACACGGAGCTTCAGAATCCTCGCCTCCAAGGATTGATAGCTGTGGGAGACGTTGCTAAAGTGGACAATGTTCCTGAACTCTTCCCCTACTTTCCTCGTGATAACTTCTCACGTCACCGTAAAAGCCCGTTGCCATGTAGTGGAGTCTCACTGGTAGCGAATCTACAGGACGGAGTAAAGCAGTCCCATCTTGTTTCCTGCCAGGCACGCCCCGGCAATGTGCTTCACCACCCAGGAAACTTGGGAGGACGAGTCATTGCAGAGCAGGGCTCCCACCCTGTGCCAGGTGCAGTGGGGTCTTGGAAATGGGGACGATCTCGTTCCCAGGTGGCTGGGGAACCACACACCACAGTGAGCCCACCCGATGGCTTTGCATTCCGTGCCCTCCACACATCACTCAGGTCACTCACTGCCGGAGAGTTGGCACCAACTCCCAGCCAACCCTCCAGGGTTTTCCGAGGCTGGAGCTCACTGGGGGAGATAGCCTGTTTTTTCTCCTGAGGAGCCACAGGGGCATTCGAACCACCTGTCTTTTGAGTTGACAGCGCAGCTCCTTACCCACTGGGACGCCAGAGCTCCCTACACCTCGGGTTCCCTAATTGAAGAATTCCTTTTTGGCAAAGCACTGCCTTTCCTCAGGACTCCCGTACCACGTGCCGGTCCCATAATGCGGAGAAGCCTCACCTCTTCTGAGTGGTCAGAGGCGGATGGAAGTAGAAGCCGACAGGCTGAGCTGGGCGAGGCCGCGTGTGCATCCAGCCAGCTGAGTCTACTCTGGGTCTGTCACAGTCAGACTTCCTTCCAGCTCAAAGAGCAGCCGTGGATTTAGAGTCAACAACTGGCTTTCGATCCCAGCTCCCGCTTCGCCAAGCTGGGGGGTATTACAGGCGGCCCCGGCTTGTGACATAAGATCACAACACCTGCCCACAGGGGTGCTGGTGAGCCTTGGAAAGATGAGTGATGGGAAGTGCTCTGTGTGTGTTACATTAAAAAAAAAAAAATCCAGAAGGGGAGGCCGGAAGAAAATGCAACAATGAGAAAGAAAAGAAAAAAGAAAGAAATAATAACTTTAAAAAAACATAACCAGAAAGTGTGAGGCCCAACAGCCCTTCCCTGTAAAGTGCGCTCGAGCAGGGTATGTTCATCTTAGGTTCAGGGGGAAGTTGAAGGGGGGTCTTAAGTGAGTATCTGTCAGCCTTTGGCAGTAAAAACAGCAGGAGATGCTTCTCTCTGCAGACCCAGGGTTTGCCTTCAGGCTCTTGCTGTCCGCTCTCTGGGCAGAAATGGGGGCGTATCGCTGGCCCTCCCTGACCTCTCCTTCTTTCCTTCCAGATGTTGGTGCTGACCTCTTGGCCATGTGCCAGCAGAACATTGCCCTTAATGGTCACCTGACTGCGGGCATAGGTGAGGCTCAGCAGGTGATCTGTGGTTGGGGGTGGGCTCTGCACTGACAGGTGAGAGGGGCACCCCAGGACCACCTGGGCCGATGGGACTCCACCCACTCCCCCAGCAACACCCCAGCTGGAGGAGTTGACACTGTCTTCACCCTCATATTGCTTCAGGTCACTTCCTTGAGTCGTGTCATCCCACACCCACCTCTGTGCTTCAGTCCAGTCCTCAAGTTTGGGCGCAGGCAAGACCACCAGCCTGCTCTCCCCAGCTCCCTCCAAGCTGTCCTCCATGTAGCAGCCACTCATGATCTAAACCCAGCCACCCCGCATCCCACAGAGAAACCTTCCGGGGCTCCCGTCCCTTCAGGAGGACACCCAGATCTACGTGATGCAGCCACACTTCACTCCTTTGCTCCCCTCCTGTCGTTCTGCTCGGTCCCCATCATCCAGCTCACGAGGGGCTTATGTCGCATCACCTTCTCTCTCCCTGGGTCGCTCCTGCTCCATCTGTCAGTCAGACACTCCTGCAGGGCTCACTTCAGGGCCGAGGAACAGCCACCTGTTCTAACTAGACTCTTGGTCCAGACTGTCCCACCTCGGTGCCAAGTGAGGGCTCTTTCCCAGACTCAGATCTGGTCACTCCCACCCTGTAGGCTTCCAGCTCTTTGAGGTTGACTGCTGCCCTCAGTGTAAACATCACATCTCCGTGCCTGGCGCTCTCCCTCCAACCAGCCTGGCCTCTGACATTCCCCTCCCCTCGGCACCATTGCACTTGCTCTCAATCTGCCCAGAACTGTGTTCTTCTCCCCTTCCTCCTCCTGAGTGCTCCTGGCCACGCTCCTGGGCCTCAGGTGAGATCAGAGTACACTCACAGACCCCACAGCACCCAGCCCTCGGCATCCTCCCTTCCGTGTGTGCTGGTGAGTCGATCGAGGTCCGCCACCCCCGCTGGTCTGCACGCTCCGTGGGGACGGGCCTGGGTCGTGTCTGATCCTCACAGATGCCATGTCTGAGGGATGCCCAGTGTGCAATTGGAAGCTCCTAAACAGAAGAAGGAAGGGCTGGCTGGGGCAGACACAGCTCACCCTTGGAAGCTCCCCAAGAGATCGCGCCTGCACCTCTTCATAGTCTCCTAAGGACACTGGCTTATATTTGTGTATCTGCTTGTTCCCATCGACCGATGCATCGTACCTGATATTTTCCAGGATGAGTGAAGTGAGGATAGATGGGTGGAAAGAGGATGACTGGGTAGGTGTGAGAGAAAGACGGAAAGATGAGGCTTTGGCTGGCTGGCTGAATGAACAGGAAGAGGACAGAAGAAAGGGAAGGCGGAGGGAGAGGACAGAAGGACGCCCTAGGTAGGAAGCTAGATGGGTGGGTGAAGCTGGTGTGTGGGTTAGACAACTGTCTCCTGGGTTTTTTATTTTTGTATTATGGGGTCTCTATCTCTTTGTTCTCACAGATGATAGAGTCAAGGTCAGAGAGCTGGACTGGCTCCGAGAAGACCTGTGCACAGGTACGTGTGTCCTCCACTGAATCACCTGGCACAGTTCTGTGACATTGGACCCACAACTCACAGGCTTCGCCTCTGAGCCATGAGAAAGCTGCCGTTCCCTGAGCACCCCCAGCCAGCGGGGTCACTCCCTGTCACTTTTCCTGTCCTCACCACCTCACTTGTGTCGGTGTGTTGGTCTCCACGTGAGATGTGAAAACTGAGGCTCCGAGAGGGTGAGCGACCTGCCCAGGGGCACACAGCATGCAGGTCGAGGTTTGAACACCCGTCTGTCAGATTCCAGATTTTAGGCCATTTCCACGCAGAGCCCTAGTCCCTTCCTGCCTGGTGTCTGCCCTCGGCCACAGTAAGGAGTCGGGCACGTGGGCTCAGGGAGCCCCCCTGGGAGGGCAGAGTTTCTAAATGTCTCTGCACACCTCAAGGCCGCTCTCTTTCTCGTGTTTTTATTGCGTATAAAGATGTGAGACTGACAGGTGAGGAAAGTTATCGTCGAGTCCCCATCCTCTGCCAGGTACTCTGCACACCTCACGTATGCGGTGCAGACATAGGTTTATGGTTCCCATTGAGGTCAAGAGAAATCTGTGACTATCTCTTACTGTGTACCATCAAGTCAAAACTGGCTCATAGCTGACCGTCCAGTGGGTTTTCAGAGGCAGTAAATTACATGGGAGGAAGTTGCTCATCCTTCTCCCTCAGAGAAGCAGGTGGATTTGAACCACCTGCCTTTGGGTTGGCAGCACATATACCACAAGGAAGAGTCTCACTAACAGTGGCCTTAACCTTCAGGATATGACCTTCTGACCCTCTCAACAATCCTAAGGAAGAAGTAGTAGTGTCAGCCCCACTCGGTAGGAGTTCCGGTGAACCAGGGGTTAAACACGTGAATGCCTACCAAAAGGCCATGGTTCAGATCCACTCGGTGGGCCTGCGGGAGTAAAACCTAGTTATCTGCTTCTATCAGATTGTAGCCTGTCCCTTTGGACAGGGTTTTGTTTGTTTGGTGTTTGGTTTGGTTTTTTGGGTTTACAAATGTAAAACCTGGAACCCAAAGAGAAGTGACTTTCTTGGTCACAGGTCAGTGAGGCTGAACACTACAGGCCATGTGTCCAAGCAAGGCTGCTGTCCACCTGCCCCACTGTCCTGTCAGGTTCTTGGCCCCGCACTGTGTCCTGTGGACGCCTGTGAGAAGGGCAGCTGAGGCTGAGTGCTGGGGCCTCAGGACTGCAGAAGAACCAGGTCCCACACACACTGCCCCACACATCTCTCTCCTGTAGCTTTCCTCAGGCCGTCCCCAGGAGAGCTGGTGGCCACAGGGAAAGGAGTGAGCACAGGTCTCCTCTGTCCTCTCTCACAGATCCCGAGGTCCCCTTCTGTTGGTCAGAAGAGGAAGTGTCTGACTTGTACAGTCACACCACCGTGCTGCTTGCAGCTGAAGGTACGAAACTTTGCAGTGGCCAGTTTTCCTGTTACATTTAGTGGAAAAATTAGTGAACCCCTCCAAGGTTCTCAAATGTGTCTTTTCTGGAACATTCCATAGTATGTTCTTGCAATTCTTTTTCCATCTTTAAAAAAACTTTTTATTTTGGGGCGCTCTGGTGGCCTAGTGGCAAGGAGCTGCAACTACAATCCCAGAGGCGCACGGTTCAAATCCACCAGATGCTCTGCCGGGAAAAGGAGGAACAATCTCCTCCTGTACCAGTCAGATCTGATTTGACGGTACACTCACACACACAAAAAAAAATTTTTTTTATTTAAATGAAGGATTATAAATCCTGCTAGTTTTTCATTCAAGCATTCATAGACGTTTCATTTTATATGAATTGTCCTTGATTAATGAATTAGTGACTAGTCGGTCCTTTATTGTGTGCTGTCTTTCCCTCCCCTCTCCCTCCCTCCCTGTCGCTGTTATCGCTACAATGTAGATTCATTTGTTCTATCTGTGTGTAAACCCTTCCGTGGTGATTTTCTTTTTGTGACTGATTTCCTGCACTCAGCATGATAAGTTCTTGAGCAGTACTTTGCAAATTTTTTATCATTGTTTGTTTTCATGGACTGCCAAGAAAACAAACAGATTCATCCTAGAGAGGGTTAAACCAGGCTGCTCCTTGGAGGCAAGGATTCTGGGGCTTCGTCTGACATACTTTGGACATGTTGTAAGGAGAGACAGGTCTTTAGAGAGGGATATCATGCTGGGTAGAGCAGAGGGACAGCGCAGGAGGGGAAGACCCTCTATGAGGTGGATTGATTCAGTTGACTGGGGTAATCGGAATGGGTGTGTCAGAGGCAATGAGATTGGCACAAGATAGAGCAGGGTTTAGGGCTGTTGTACAGAGTGTCGCTATGAGTCGCAAACGACTCGACGGCACATAACAACAACAACATATATAAAATGCATTACATTTTATGTAATGTATAATACACCATTTTGTGAATATACCACGATTCGAGGGTTTTTTTAAACTCATTTGTCTGTTGATGGTCACTTAAACCTTTGCTGTTGTACATAATGTTCAAAACAATACGGGTTCATTCTATCAGCTTGTGTCCCAGCTCTTGTTTCTTTGGCGTATAATCTCAGTAGTGGGGTTACTGGACCAAGTGGTATTTCTGTTCCTAACTTTCTAAGCTGCCTGCGATTTTAATTCTGGTTGTCGCTGATCTCTGTTTTTAGGGTGTGGGTCCCTTAAGAAAAATGTTGCTTCAGTATTTGCATGTTTGACCCAAATGTCTTTTCTCTTCTCCACAGTGTTTTATGATGACGACTTAACTGATGCTCTGTTTAAAACACTCACCCGAATCGCTCACAAGCTGAAAAATGCCTGCACAGTCATCTTGTCAGTGGAGAAGAGGTGGGTGCCATACCACAAGAGCAGCGCAGCCTGCATGTCAGACAGACTTCTGCAGCCCTGCTGTGTTCTCTCCACTGTCTTTACTGTCACTGACTGCCGTTTGCTGCTGCTGTGGGCCCACCCTCCACCTCCAGTACACATACTAACCCCAGGAGTAGGCGCCCTCATCCCCATCTTACAGATGAAGGGAGTAAGACTGAGGCGTCCGGAGCATGTCCACGCTGCAGTGAGTGCGTGAGCAGATAAGAAATCACACACAGATGTGTACCAGAGCCGTGGTGCTTCCCCACCATGTTTGGTGGCCTCATCTCTTTTTGGACTTTCTCTCGAAGACACATCTGTCTCCTTAGCATCCCCAGGTCCTCTTCTGTCCAGATACAACTCTGTCACCAACCAGGCCCTTTCTGAGCTGTTTCGACTTGAGTATCCTGAAGTATCTGCAGGTGAAGACACAGTGTTAAGACACTGCACACTGTCTTCTCTGTTATCGGTTTGTATCATGTAGCACAGACTATAAAACTGAACATCCCTACTGGTCCAGCAGTCCAGCATCTGGAAATTCCACAGTGTGTACAAAGCCGTCTGTACTCACACATTCATTCCTGTGATGTTTATACTGATGTTTCAAGGCCATCTTTCAAGTCATATATCCTCCAAGGGCAACGACCCAATCACATCTGGATCCTGATTCTTAGAAACCATAACGGAAGGACGTTGAGACAGTCAGGAACAGTTGAACCCTGACTGGATATCCGGTACAAAAGAATTAACCATGAAATCTGTTTGAAATGTGAGAATGGCGTGGTGGTTTTGTTTTTTAAACCATCTTCAGTTTTACGAGTTGTGCACTGACATCCACAGGCTGTGCTCTCTGCTGTTTGCTTCTCAGCCTTTGCTGGGGGTGCACAGATGGTGGGGGGTGAACAGCCATTGAAGCTGAGCAGTGGATTCACAGTGCTCCATTATGCTGCTCTCATTCCTTTTCAGTGTTTGGAATTTTCCCCACTAGAAGATTTTTTTTAAAGGAAAGAGTTTGCATTTCAGGTTAAGCATTCTTGCAGGCCTGCCTGTAAGATGGTGAGAATGGCAGGTTTGGGAATGATAGATGACTGGGTGCACAGTCCCTCTCTCTGGAACCTTTCCCAGCTCCTGACCCTGGCAGGCAGCGCTGCCCTCAGTGTCCTCAGCCCTCTGCACCTGCCTCTCCCAGTGCCTTCTGCTCATTCGTTCCTCACATGTTCCCTGGACAAGTACTGTGAACTGGATTCCATGGGGGCTGGATGGCGAGGCTGGCCCTCGGGCCTTCCTCTCATGCTGGCCCTCGGGCCTTCCTCTCATGCTGGTCGGTAGCTCCTCAGAGGCCGAGACTGCCTTTCTCTTTCTAGTGGTGTACTTCCGGCCTTGGGGCTGCACCTTCTGAGTTTTTTTCACATCTGTGAAATGCGCATGCTGACCACTTCCCCTACTAGCCTGTCTGGCACCTCCAAGGAGGAGAGGGGTGCAAGTGCTTAGCACGTACTAGGCCTATGGTCCACTGGCAGGAAGTAAGGTCAGTGAGGCAGCCCAAAGCGAGTGGCGAGGAGAAGATAAACCCTCCCCAGGCGTGATGGGCACTCTGTCCTGGTTGGTTGGTTGCTTTCCAGGCTGAACTTCACGCTGAGACACTTGGACGTGACGTGTGAAGCCTATGACCACTTCCGCGCCTGCCTGCATGCCCTGGAGAAGCCGGCCACCAGCCAGGTGCGCTTCTCCGTAGAGCCAGTGGGCGCCAACTTCCCACAGCATCTCGTCTACGAGCGCATCAGACAGCTGGTAAGTGGGGCCCACGGATGTAGAGGGTGACTCCAGGGCACGGGGGTGCTGAGCCAAGACCCCTCACACCAACCCCCACCCTGCCATCCTGAGAGGGTGAGGGCTGCAAGCTTGGTGTTCTCGTTCTCTTTCTCCTTCATAGTACAGTCATTCCCCTGGAATGAACTCAGAGGAAATTCAGACTCCACTGGAAGCCACACCCAGTTCAGAGGGACCTCTGGGGAGCAGCAAGTCCATGGAGGAGACACTGGTGGGGGTCGGGGGGTGAGGTCTTGACGCAGAGTCCCTGGGTGGCATTGCTGCTGAATACACTTCACTCTTATGTTAGACTGGTCTGGTTCTTGATTTCTCAGCATACACATTGACTAAATACAGAGAAGGATGTATCTCTGATATATGCACTTCTGATTTTAGATCATGCAGGGTTCTTTTGCTTTGTTCAGACAGCAGCTTCTTGACCTAGATAGAGATTTCTTTATGAGCACCGTTAAGTATTTGGAGATTCCCATTCTTCTTAATATTAGTCATAGTTATGATCCACATAACCAAATGCCCTGATTCAGGCCATGATCTTTTCAATCATTTGCTATGCATCTGATAGCTAAACAGTGAATAAGGATGACAGAAAGTGAATTGATGCCTTTGAGTTGTGGTGTTGGAAAAGAGTGCTGAATATCCCATGGACTGCAAAAATTACAAAACCCAAATAGATAGAGGTAACTTGTGGTTGCTGTGAAGCTGAACACGGTGACACTGATGTGTCGCTTTGTTAATGGTTACCCATGACAACAGTGTTTGGTGGTGCTGCCCAATTAAAACAAGCTTGAAAGCAGGAGTGGCATCCCCTTTTGTAACCTCTTGCCTCTGGAAACCCTGGAGAAAGGATGAAAGTTACAAAAGTGTTGAGGACTTTTGTTCATAGGGTCACTATGAGTCGCCTGCGACTCAACACTGCTTACCAACAACAAATAGATATGTCTTGGGGGAAAGTGCAGCTAGAGTGCTCCTTGGAGGCAAAGATGACGAAGCTCATCTCACATACTTCAGGCTTGTTACTAAGAGAGGCTGTTCCTTGGAAAGAGACATTGTGCTTGGAAAGGTGGAGGGATAGTGAAGGAGAGAGACCTTCAACCAGATGGATTGACACAATAGTAGCAACGCTGGCTTCAGGTGTTTCAGAGATGAAGTGATTGGCACAGGATTGGACAGTTCGGGTCTGTTGTTTAGAGGGTCACTGTGTCTTTAGCTTCTCCACAGCACCTAACGACAACAGCATTTCTTGCTGGTCCTCCTAACCCAGTGGGATTCCATTCATAGGCCTCTGTGTTAGCAATCGTCCTAGGAGCCCTGGTGGTCCAGTGGTTCATGCTTAGCTGCTAACCTGAGCAAGGTCAGCAGTTCAAAGCCACCCATTGTCTCTGCAGGAGAAAGACCCGGTGATTTTCTCCTATAAAGACTACAGCCCAGGAACCCCCATGGGCAGCTCTTTGTCACATGAGGTCAGTGTGAGTGAAAGTAAACTCAGTGGGAACAGGCGACAGACAACAGGACTCCTAGTAACAGCCGCCAGCATGCTCCAGATGCTGTGTGAGGCACCTTTCCTGGCTGGCCTGGCTAATCCCACAGCGACAGAAAGGGCCAAGTCTCTCCAGCAGAAACCTAATCCCACCGCCAGCACACCACAGGTCACATGGCCCCATGTCCTGTTTCCAGGGCACCCTGAGCTCTGCCAGGAGGTGCTCCCTGGAGGTCCAGAGACAGTGAGCTGTCTCGTGTTCTCTTTGCACTTGACTGACCACCCTTCCTTCGGGGCCGCAGAGACCCAGGCCCGGCTTCCTGGAGGAGCGGAGGGGGACACAGGCTGTCTTCTCCCTGCTCGTGGTCCAGGCAGTGCAGTGCTGAGTCTGTCACCAGCTGTGTGTAAGGACCGTCCCTTGTTACTGCCAGCCCTCTCTCTGTCCAGTCAAGGAGGCCCCAGGTTGATGGCACACAAAGAAAGCCACCTTGGATAGTGAGGACACGCCCTGTTGACAGGGATGTGATATGTTTGGTACATTCTTTGCCCTCAGGAAACGTGGCATCATGTGTTTAAGCAGTCAGCCTCCTAGGGGAGTCAGCAGTCGCTGTTCGTGGTGGCCTGTTGTTCGGGGCCGTTGAGCCAGTTCCACATACAGCAGAATGAAGTCTGTGTAGTCCTGTCATTTTCACACAACTGCAGTTAGAGCTGGAAACTCGATGTACGAACAGTGCTCAGGCTGTTCATTCATAGGGTTGCTATGAGTCGTCTACGACTCGACGGCATTAAACAACAACAGCAGTTAGAGCCCAGCATCGTAATCACGCTGTCAGGTCATCCGTAAGGGCGGGGTGGGGGCGGTGTCAGCCACAGGTAACACGAGTCCCGAGGATGACAGTCGCAGACATGCTGGCACCACCAGGGCAGACACAGCAAAGTCAGTGGAATGAATTCTGTGTAGTCCTGTCATCTTCACACGACTATAGTTAGAGCCCAGCATCATAACCACACTGTCAGGTCATCCTTAAGGGGGGGATGTGAGCCACAGTCGAGGTAACACAAGAAGAGTCCCGAGGACGACAGTCATAGGCATGCTGGCACAACCAGGGCAGACGCAGCAAAGTCAGTGGAACGAAGTCTGTGTAGTCCCATCATCTTCACACGACTATAGTTAGAGCCTAGCGTTGTAACCACACTGTCAGGTCATCAGTGATGTCAGTAAGAGGGAGGGGGGATGTGAGCCACAGTCGAGGTAACAGGAGAAGAGCCCCGAGGAAGACAGTCACAGGCATGCTGGCACCGCCAGGACAGACGCAGCAAAGACAGTGGAACGAAGTCTGTGTAGTCCCATCATCTTCACACGACTGTAGTTAGAGCCCAGCGTCGTAACCACACTGTCAGGCCATCCATAAGGGGGGGATGTGAGCCACAGTCGAGGTAACACGAGTCCTGAGGACGACAGTCGCAGGCATGCTGGCAACACCAGGACAAACACAGCAAAGACAGTGATGTCAGCTAGGCTGTTTGCCAGACAGACCTGTCAGCCATCAGGGGCTGGGGTCTGTTTTTATCCCCTGCAAGCCGACTTAGAGAGCTCTGGGAGCCAAGTGGTGAGAAACTGTACAATCAATGCCAAAGGTACCTGGTTCTAAGCCACCAGCTGCTCCGTGAGAGAACGATGGGCACTCAACTCCTGTGCAAGTAACTGCCTCTGAAAACCCGCTGGAGGTCAGCTATGGGTAATACCACTTAGTACCCCTGTGTCTCAGACCACCAGATACAGGGGGCTAGCACTGGGAGTTAGTGCACTGGGGGGATGTCACCCCTAGTGACGTCATCACAGTCCATCTCGAGGATCCCCCTGAGCCCTCTCCAAGTGGAGCAGGCGTGGCAATTTGCGGTCTTTGTTTTGTGTCCTTTTTGATCATGACCCTCAGACGCTCCTCGGTCACCGTGGAACTGTGTTCATCCAGCTTCCCTCGCGCTGTGACACCACAGGCAGAGCAAGGGGACAGGAAGACTCCCATTCCCTAGCGCCCTGCGTGGTGATATGCCCACAACTCACACTCCTGCAGTCGTTTCCCTTTGTGAAACTGCAGCAGTCTCAGGTCGAGTTCAGGCTTAACAACCCCTGTCTCCACTTGTCACAGGAGCTCTGGAAGATCCTCGTGGAACCAGTCACCTGACCGGGGCAGCAGCAGAGCGTCTCCCGCGGAAGAAGTGTCTCCTCTCGACTGTTCTTGTCATACGTTTCTAATAAAGCAGAAGTTCTTCAAAGAAATGTACTTGAGATTTTATTATTGTAACAGAGGTCACCCGTAGGGGACGAACCCCTGTGGGCTCTCAGGGCTGTGGTGTCATGGGCAGCAGCTCCAGCAAGCAGCGCTCTTTGACTTTGCTTAGTTTTCTTGTGCCCCATAGATTGGGGGTATTTTTATAAAGTCAGGAGTTGTGGCAACCCTATGTGGAGCACCATTCTTCCAACAGCCTGCGTCTCTGGTCCTATTTTGATCCTTCTCGCAGTATTTCAAACTTTCATGATGCTTCTGCATTCCTGATGGACTCCTATCCATCTGTCCCTGACGTCGGGTTGGAACCAGCTCCTAACTGACCCTTGAGCCGAGCAGGGAGCACTGGTAGCCGAATGGTAAGAAGCTGCACTGCAATCCCGGTGGCATGTGGTTCAAGTCCACCAGCTGCTCTATGGGAGAAGGATGGGCAGTCTCCTCCCATGAGATGAACCGCCTCTGAAAACCCGCTGGAGGACCTGCTATGGGTTGGTTCCAACTCAAGGATAACAAGAAGTCTGTCATTACCATCACGTCAGACCCGACCCCTAACTGACCCTGTGGCAGGTTTCTGAAGCTGTAAACCGATTGTACAGGAGAGCAGCCGTCTTTCTCCCTCAGAGCTGCTGGTGAATTTGAGCCGCTAGAGAGGCACAGCCTTTGGGTTAGCAGTGCAGCTCCCTGGGTCTTGGACACCAGAGCACCTGATAGTCTATGGTATGTTGTTTTTAAGTGCCATGGCGTCAAGTATGACACTTAGCAACCCTATAAACAGATCTGAGCCCTTTCCTATCCTGTGCCGTCCTGACACCTTAGAGCCCATTGCGGCAGTCACTGTGTCAATCCCCCTGGTTGAGGGTCTTCCTCTCCCTCACTGATCCTCCAACTTTCCCAGCTTCATGTCCCTTCCCAAGGACTAGCCCCTCCTACCAATAAACCCAGAGTATGTGAGGCAAAGCCTCATCATCCTTAACGTCCAAGGAGCACTCTGGCTGCACCCTCTCCAAGACTTAACTGTTTGTTCTTTTGGCCGTCCATGGGATGTTCAGTGCTCTTCAACACCACAGCTCAAAGGCGTCAATTCTTCTGTCATCCTTATTCATTGTCCAGCTCTCAGATGCATAGCAAGTGACTGGAAAGACCACAGCCTGAATCAGACGCACTGTAGTCTTCAAACTGACATCAGTACTCTTCAATAATTTGTAGAGGTCCTTAACTGCAGACTTCCCCAGTGGAATATGTCCTCTTGTTTCCTGACTGCTGGTACCACTGTTGATTGTGGATCCAAGTAAGATGAAATTGTTGACAGTTTCAGTCCTTTCTCCAGCTGTTTATGATGCTGCCTATTGGTCCGGTGGTAAGAATATTGGTTTTCTTGACAATGAGATGCAATCCCTATTGAAGGCTGTATTCTTTGATCTTCTGCAGAAGAAAGTGCTTCAAGTCCTCCTCACTTAGCACGCATGGTTGTGTCGTCTGCATAAGGCAGGTTATTGATGAATCTCCCTCTGATCCTGATGCCACAGTCCTCTTCATAGAGTCCAGCTTCTCGAAAAATTTGCCCAGCATACAGATTAAATGGATGTGGAGAGAGAATGCAAGGCTGACAGTCTAACTTTTACATGTACTAGGAAATGGAGAGGGAAAGGGTGCAACTCGTTTTATTGGCATATGGCTCTCTGGTGGTGGTCTGGAAGCCCACCTGCAGTCTCTGAGGCCTAACCCTGGCACAGTGGCTGTAACCACACCCCCACCCCCAAGGCTGCAGTGAGTGCCCACACGGAGGGCAGCTGCAGGTGATAGACTTTAGCTTTAACTGCTGGAACAAAACGAGGTGCTCAGGGCGAGCACACAAATTGCTCCCTGTGGTCCCGTTGGGCTGGCCTCGCGCCCTGGGATGACCCCCTCGGGTTTCTCTTCTTCCCTCTGCCTCAGTTCCCCCCTGTGTCACTTGTACACTCCCTGGCTGGCTGTCATCTCCCTTCTCCCCCCACCCAACCCATTTGTACTTCTGTCCACACTGCACCCAGAAGTTACTGTCTGTGTCTGCTCTCCACTCCTGCCCTGGCTTCCTCTTCCTCCTCACCCTCCTCTTAGATGTCTTCCTTTCCCTCCTCTCCTCCGCCTTCCCGCTCTTCTCCCTCTCTCCTCTCTCCCTCTCCCTCCGCTCCTGCATCCCCCACCCTTTCCTTCTAAGGAGCATTCTAACTACTCTCCTTCTGTGACAGATTTATTTATCTTCTGGCAGTCCTAGTATTTTCAGTAGCCTTTGCCAACATCATAATTCAAAGACATCAGTTCTTCAGTCATCCTTATTAATCAGCCAGCTTTCCCATCCGTATGAACCCAACCCACGTTGCTCTGGAGTCTGAACCAATTCTTTGGCTACCACCGGCTGACCCTCAGTTGGGTTTTCTTTTCTTTTTTTTACAGTTGGGTTTTCTAAGACTGCAAGTCACATGGGAGGAGATTGCTCATATTTCTCTCACAGAAGCCACTGAAGGATCCAAACTGCCAGAAAAGCACGGGCTTTGAGTTAGCAGGCAACTCGCTGCAGACAGCATCAGAGCTCCCTTCACATCTGTACAAGGAGAACTGAAAATACAGTGGCTTGTGTCGGGCGCACCTTAGTCGTCAGAGTGACATCTTTGCTCTTTAATACTTTAAAGAGGTCTTTGCAGCAGATCTTCCCAAGGTAATACATCATTTGATCCCTTGACAGCTGTATTCATGGAACCTGATTGTAGATCCAAGTAAAATTACATTCTCCATTCCCTTTATCTTAATGTGGCTTATTGGTCCAGCTGTAAAGATTTTTGGGGAAAGGGGGGTGTTTTGCTTTGCTTTGGTGTTTGTTAATTTGTTAAAGTGTAATCCATACTGAAGGGTGCTCTGGTGAACTAGTGGTAAAGAGTTGCACTGCCAACCCAAAGGCATGCGGTTCAAATCACCAGCCGTTTCTCAGGAAAAAGATGTGCAGTCTCCTTCCATGAAGTGTGTTGTTGTTGTTGTTGTTGTTGTTGTTAGGTGCTGTAGAATTGCATACAACTCATAGCAACCCTGTGAACAAAGGAGCTGAACCCTGCTCTATCCTGCACCAGCCTCACACTTCTGAGACACGAGAGCCCATTGCACCAGTCACCACCGTGTTGAGGGTCTTCCTCTCCTTCAACCCTCCACCCTTCCCAGCACCATGTCCTTCTCCAAAGAAGAGCCCCTCCTAGCAACATGTCCAAAGGGTGTGAGGCCAAGCCTCATCATTCTTGCCTCCAAAGAGCACTCCGGCTACACCCTCTCCAAGATATATCTGTTTGTTCTCTTGGCCATCCATGGGATGTTCAGTGCTCTTCTCCAACACCACAGCTCAAAGACATCAGTTCTTCTGTCATCCTTATTCGTTGTCCAGCTCTTAGATGCATAGCAAGTAATCAGAAAGACTATGGCCTGAATCAGACACACCTCAGTCCTCAAACTGACATCATTACTCCTCAGTACTTTGGACATGTCCCTAACTGTCCCTAAATTTCCATGAAAGTTACAGTCTCTGAAAACCTGCTGTGGGGTCAGCTATGAGTTGATTCTGACATAATAACCCAACAATCCCTCCTGAAGGCTGTATAGTCTTTGATCTTTATCAGTAAGTGCTTGACGGCCTCTTTGCTTTCAGCAAGCAAGGTGATAAGTCTTCCTCCAATCGTGATGCTGTGTTCTTCATATAGTACTGCTGCTAGGATTATTTGCTCAGCATACAGATTGAATAGGTATGGTGAAAGGCTGCAACCCTGGTGCACACCTTTCTTGGCTTTAAATTATGCAGAATCCCCTTGTTCTTGATCTATGTACAGGTTGTCCATGGGCACAGTTAATTGTCTGGGAATCACCATTCTTTTTTAATTTTTTTAAATAATTTTAATGAGCATCTACAGGGATTTTGGATTGCCATTCATTCATTGTTGCACTTTTTTCCCTACCCAGCCCTCCTCCCCAACACACCCCCTCCAGTTTGCTCCTCTCTTTGAAAAAGTAAAAGAACAATTCTTTCTTTCATATACAATCCCCCCCGCACCCCTCCCACCACCCCAGGTACACTCCACTATGCACCCTTAATTCTGGACTCTTGTGATAACTATAATACCCTAATATCGCTTTTAAATTATTTTTCCCTCATCTGTTTCAATGCAGTATACATAATTTATCCAGTTTTTCTCAATCTTCCCCCAACCCTGCTATCAATCCCATTCTACCATGCAGTATTTGTCCTTTTGTGACTGAGATATTTCACTCAGCATAATGTCCTCCAGGGTCACCCATTTTGAATAATATTGCATGAGTTCCTTATTTTTCAATGCAGTGTAGTATTCACTGTGTGAATATACCACAGCTTCTCTATCCATTTGTTTGTTGATGGGCACCTGGGTTGTTTTCCAACTCCTTGTTATTGTGAATGAAGCTGCAATAAACATGGGTGTGCAGGGAATCGCCATTCTTAGCTATGCTATCTATCATGTGTTATGCTTTGCATAGTTGAATGCCTTCACAGAGTCAATAGTTAGCATAGACAGACATCCTTGTATTGGTCTCTGCTTTCAACCAAGATCCATCTGCTATGAGCAATGATACCCCTCATTCTATCCTCTCCTGAATCTGGCTTGACTTTCTGAAAGTTCCCTTTGGTGTACGACTTCAGCCTCTTTTTTGATTGTTTCAAGAATTCCTCTGCGTGTGATACCAATGTTGCTGTTGCGTGCCGTCAAGTCGCCTGTGACTCATAGCGACCTTATGCACAACAGCTCTGGACCCTGCCCTATCCTGAGCCAGACTCACTGTCTCCAACACACCTACTCCCATTACCCCACTTCCTGTGTCAGTCCATCTCCTCCAGGGTCTTTGAATTCCAC